TGCCCACCCTGCACGTGCGGAGCACCCTTCCTGCACGTGCGGCCCTCACCCTTGCACGTGCGGCGGTCCTGCCATACCTCAACCCGCACCTGCCTTTTAGGCAGTGCGCAACCCTCAGACCCTCACCTCTCACTGCACGTGCGGCCTCACTCCCCGCACTTGCGGCATAGGGCCCCGCAAGTGCGGCCCTCGCCCAGCTGCCCAGAAATTCTCCGCTTCACTTTCGGGCACCCTGGACTTGACCCCACACTTCTCGGAACTAGTGAAATTCGTCACCGAACATCACAAGAACAAGAGTTTTGTTTGAAAACTATTTTCTAGACCTCCAAACCCAACGAAAACTAAAGGAGGATGGAGTGAAGAAAAGAAAACAAAGTAGACCCGGTTGTCACACGTGTCCCTGCACATGCCTTTTAGGCAGTGTGCAACTCTCCCAACTCCTCCTCTCCCGCATGTGCGGCCCTCCTCCCCCGCACGTGCAGCCCCATCCCGTATGTGCAGCCCTGGGCTCCCGCACGTGCGGCCCTGGCCCAGCAGCTCAGAAATCTGCTCGTTCACTCCCGGATACTCCGGACTCGACCATGCACCCTTCGGAATAAGTGGAATTCAACCTTGAAGGAAAACCAAAACAAGAACTTAAATTTTGAGGACTACTTCCGGACGTTTCAAACCTAACGAGAGCAAAAAGAGAACGAAGTGAAAAGGAAAGAAAAAGAAAGAAAATAAAGATCCGGTCATCACACTTCATAAAAGAAAGACTTGAACTATCTGTTCGATCGAACTTCAGGGATTATAAGAAAATATATAGGGCTTATTATTGTACAAATTTAATATGGGATTTTCTATTAAAAATTCCTATTTATGAAGTCTGAATTTGATAAAGATTTTTAATATGTTGAAGGTTCTTAAAATTATTATTACAAATTAAGGCTAATCCATGTAGATTTGAAAAACATCATTAAAAAAAAAAAATAATCTATAAGTTAATGCACTTTTAATTTTTAAGATAAAATCACACTGTGTGCCCCTAAAGTATTGCTAGTTCTTTTTTTGTCTGTAAACTTTATTTCCAGTTTAGTTCTTACACTATTGAATTTTTGTTAGTGTGGTCACTTTGGAAGATGTTTCTTTGGAAGATTCTACTTTCACTACAAAACAATTCAAAATGAAAAATTATTGATAATGATAATGTATGTTACATAATTTTGAAATTATTAAAAAAATTTTAAATTAATATAATACATCTTCAAAATTAACATAAATTAGAGGAGATGTGTGAAATGAGTTTATAGTTAAATTTTATATATAGATATAGAAATAAATAAAATAACCAAACCAAACCAAACCTTTAGTCCCATCAAATGGAGTTGGCTACATAAATCATTTTTTTCCACTTGAGTCTATCAATGGCCATTTAGTTAGTCAAATCAAGGAGATTCGTATTTTTATTTACTACACTAGTCTACGTCAATCTAAGTCTACACCTTTGCCTTAACACTTCCTTCCATCGTCACTTTATGTATCGCATCTTTTTACCACTGTCTCTATTGGTCTCCATTATATATACCCAAACCATTTCAATCTATTCTCTCTCAGTTTCTCTTCTATCGGTGCTACTTCTACCCATTCACAAATATGCTCATTCCTAACTTTGTCTTTTCTAGTCTTGCCATGCATCCACCTTAACATCTTCATCTTAACAACATTCATCTTATCTACATATTGTTTTTTAATTGCCCAACATTCTGTCCCATATAACTTCGCTAGTCTAATAGCTGTTCTAGGATTTTATTTTTGTCTAGTGGGTACTTGTTTATCGCATAGTATCCCAGACGCATTCTTCCATTTAAGCCACCCCATCTTAATTCTATAGATCACATCCGCTCCAATCTCCCTAGCCGTTGTGATAATCGATTCTAAATAACGAAAATGTTCATTCTTAGTTAGTTCTTGGGTCACAATCTTCACTCATCCTCTGCTTCCATTGTTACTGTTACTAAAATTATACTATATACTTTGTCTTAGTTCTGTTTATCTTAAATCTTGTAGATTCAAACGTTTTTCTCCAAATCTCCAACTTAGTATTAACTCCTTCTCTAGTCTCATCCACTAACACAATATCATCAGTGAAAAACATGCACCATGGCATATCATCCTGAATATTTCTCGACAACTTATCCATAACTAAAGCAAAAAGATAAGAACTTAAGTTTAATTCTTGGTGTAACCCCACACTAATCGGAAAGTCACTTGTCTCTCCAGCAAACGATCTAATAGTGGTCAGCACATCTTTATACATGTCCCTAATCACATCAATATGATCTTTTGTCACCATTTTCTTCTTTAGCACCCACTAGATTATATCCCGAGGCACTCTATCATATATTTTCTCAAGATCGATAAAAACCATATGAATGTCTTTATTCCTTTTCTATCTACATTTTTATTACTCTCTTCAAAAGATAGATCGCTTCCATTGTTGACCTACCAAGCATAAATCCAAATTAATTGTCTAACACCTTTGTTTTATCTCGCAATCGATGTTTTATCACTCTCTCCTACACTTTCATTATATGAAACATCAACTTGATTCCCCTACAGTTGTTGCAATTCTGGACATTTCATTTATTATTATAGATTGGCATTAAAATACTCTTCTTCCACTCCTCTGGCATTTTCCTATTTAACAAAATCTTAATAAATAACCTAGTCAACCAAGCAACCCCCTTCTTACCTAAACATTTCCAAGCTTCAATAGAGATATCATCGAGTCTTAAAGCCTTATTCGATTTTATCTTCTTAAGCGCAATCTCCACTTCAAAGTTCCTAATCCTATGACAAAACCTATAGTCTTCGTTTTCTTTATTACTGGCTACTTCCTTCCCTTTTGACCTTCCTCCATGTTCTTGATTTAACAACTTCTCAAAATAGTTCGTCCACTTCTCCTTAATCTCTTTATTCTTCACCAACACCTTAGAGTCTTCATTTTTTATGCATATAACTTGATTAAAATCTCTTATTTTCCTCTCCTTTGTCTTGGCAAGTTTGTATATTCTCTTCTTTCCCTCCTTACTATCTAGTTTAGTGTATGGGTCATCATAGGCTTCAACTTAGCTTCTCTTACTACTTTTTTGACCTCCTTGTTAACCAATCTGTAACTCTTAAGGTTTTCTTTAGTTCTATCCTTCTGTCATTTTTAAAGCACCATTTTTTTTGTCTTTACTACTGCTTGAACCTCCTCCCTTCACCACCAAGTTTTCTTAGAGTTGGGTCCCTTTCCTTTTGACTCTCCAAGGACTTCCTTTGAGATTCTCCTAATACAATTGGCCATTGAGTTCCACATAGTGTTAGCATCATCTTCCAAGTTCCAAGTACTTTCTTTATCCATTTTATTCTTAAATATTTATAATTTATTCCCTTTTAGGTCTCATCATCTCGTCCTACAATGTCCACTATAGAAATAAATAATAAGAAAAATAATTAGTAGGATTGGGATTGTAGTAGAATCGGACTCATAGTGTGATTCTATACGATTTTTTTAATTAGGATAGTAGTCGATGACTCTAGAAATTTTTATAAATGGGGTCACTCAAAAAATTTCAACTTCACAAATTTTATTAAAAAAAATTAAGTTAATAAACATTTAAACTTCTCCATCTCCACCTTCAAGTTCAAGTAAAATTAACTTTTGATAAGGATAAAAGACAATTTTAGTTCTTAAAGTATGCATTCTTTATTATTTTAGTCCCTTAAGTTTAGTTTTGTCATTTTGGTTATCAAAATTGCCAATTTAAGTCAATTTAGTCCGAGGTTTAACGTCCGTTAACGAAAATATGAATAAAAGACGGTTTTGGTCCCTAAAATATGCATTTCTTCTCATTTTAGTCCCTCAAGTTTTAAATTTTGTCATTCTGATCTTCAAAATTGTCAATTTGAGTCAATTTGATCCCAACTCAAATTGACAATTTTGAGAACCAAAATGAAAAAATTTAAAATTTGAAGGACTAAAATGACAAGAAATGCATATTTTAGGGACCAAAATTATCTTTTATTCATATTTCTGTTAACGGAAGTTAAACCTAGGACCAAATTGATTCAAATTGATAATTTTGAGGACCAAAATGATAAAATTGAAACTTAAAGGACTAAAGTGAAAAACAACGTATACTTTAGGGACTAAAACTATCTTTTATCCTTTAATAAATAATTAGTCTTAAAAAAAAAAAAATAAAATAAAATAAACTTTTACAGTCGTATTTGACGAGGTGTCATTTTTTTGAATTATTACACGAAATTTTCATTGTCAATAGTGTCAAACATATCCTCTTTTTATACACCTAATCAAGTAACCATTCAATCATTGATCTTTCATTTGATTTGAGTGTTGAGAATAGAAACATAATAGAGAAAGACTAGGTTCCTATTGAGTATTGGTATCTAATGATAGGGTCTCTTATTTTTTTAATAGGATCAATTAGTTATCAAAAAAAATTTTGTCACAAAAAAAAATAAAATAAAAAAATTCAAGGCTTTTTGGTAGGGTGATGGGTGGATGGGACCCATCACCCTTTTTCTACTGTTGCCACTGATCTTAGTCACTTCCATATTTTAATAAATTTAAGACCTTATTATGATTTGAATCATTTGACCCAACTGAAATCGTGAAATAGTAAGATTATGATAACTATGATGAGAATCCTTGTACTTCATTATCTTTTGATTGATTCGACTCCCCATCACCTTGATCACCCTCCACTATACCAAAATGAAATTTAACGTGTATTTTTATATTTGGTAAATTTAAGAATATAATAAAATGGGTTGGACTTTTTAGCTTAATTCGGATCTAAAAATGTATTGTAATTGATGTGTAAGAACTGTTTTATGTTTAATTAGTCAAATATGAAGTATATTAATTTGAAAACTAAATGGATGATGTTTAATGGGAATAAGATTTGTTGTGCTTAATTAAGTTTGTAAGCATGTGCATGGACTCACAGGTCAAATTGACTACCATTGAAGAATTGAGCATCTTTGACATGGAGAATCTGATGGAGATTTGGCCTGGACAACTTCAAGGTAAACTAAGAACGATAACAGTTGACAAATGTCATGGGCTCTCAAGCATTCTTTTCCTATCCAATTCAATTAAGGGCATGCAAAATCTTGAACTACTTGAAGTACGTGACTGTCGATCTATTGGAGTAGCATTTGACCTTGAAGGACTTGTTTGGGAAGGCATATTAGATATGCCACTCCCTTCATTAAAAAAGGTGAAATTAAGTTGTCTACCAAAGTTGACACATGTTTGGAAGGACAATTCAGCAGGGATTCAAGGCTTTCAGAATCTAATATCCTTCATAATAAATGATTGTGACAGTTTAAGAAATCTGTTCTCATACTCTCTAGCCAAGCTTCTTGTGAAACTACGAGAAATAGAGGTAACTGAATGTGGTATGATGGAATCAATCATTGGAAATGAACCAAATGCAGATGAAGCAGTGATAACAAATATGATCATGTTTCCTCAATTGAGTAGTCTCAAACTCAGTGATTTGCCAAACCTTAGGAGTTTCTGCTCTGAGACTTGTACATTTGAGGGATCTTTGTTGAAAACAATACAAGTAATCAACTGTCCCAAAATGAAGATACTCCAATCAACATTTCAGCACAAGTTAGACCAACAAAAGGCAGACTTTTCAACCTCATCTCAACACCATCTGTTGGATGGAAAGGTACATTAATTAACTTTAAAATTCACCGTAATTTTATCATATTTATGTTCAAAAAAATGGAAGATTGTCCAGTTTTTTGAATCCATTTTTTGAAGATAAAGATGATAAAATTATATTGTTTTAATGATCAAATCAATATGATTATTTTATTATTATTATATTTTATGATCTATACACAAAGACTATTATTATAAAAATAAATGATTTAAATTACCAAAGTGAGACTTGTGATAAACGTATACCCCTACCCTACCTAGCCCAACCACTCTTTCAATTATTTTAACAAAGATTTATTAGGTTAACAAATTTGTAAACATCAATTCTTGGAGTTCTCTATTCTAGTTTATTGATGAACAATAAATGGACAAATAGATGGCACGTGGACAAAATGACATATTTGTAAATAAATAGATAGATGGATAGGTAAATGTTATATGATATTTCAAATTGTTGTTATCATTATGGATTAAAAAAAATATAATTTGACACAATTGCCCCCAAAATTTTAATTTTAAATTTAAATTTAAATGATTGACCAGAGTGTTCTTTATTAAACTAATATATTGATAATATATGAGATGATAAATTGTGTTAATTCCCCACCGTGATTTGATCATAACTCCCACACGATTTGAACGGGTTGAGTTTCTTTTTTTTTTTTTTTTTTTTTTGACAAATGTTTTTTTTTTTTTTTTTTTTTTTTATCGACAAATGTTAGTTGCTAGTTGTTACCTATGAGAGAAAATCTTCTCACTCTTGGCAAAGCACCTAAGTGTTTGCACTTCCTTAATTCAACCCCTCTAAAGGGAATTGAACCCATGACCTCTTTGGGAGTAAGCCTTAAGGAAGGTATGATGGCCAACTAGGCTAGGCCTAGTTGAAATGTCAAATTAGTCAATCAATATCCATCTAGTCTGATTTTATTCACATATTTTTTGAATGTGTAAACAATACATATATTTTGATTGATACAGAATAATAAGACCTATTAGTTTGGGTGAGATCATTACACTTTTTAGATATAAAGTTTTACATATTAGAGGAATCCTATTTTGCGTATTTTTTTATTGTATGAACAAATTCATTTTCATGCCATGCACTCAATTTGTGTTAATTTTGTCTAATGTATAAAATGTGTCCTATGGTATTTTTGTCAGAGCCCGTTTGCCGTATTCGTTAAAATTATGACAAGTTGAAAAGATCATTCTTATAGAAAATTAAATTGATTTGAATATTATAGTTACATTATTATATTATATTTGTCTTCAAAATAATAAACAATATATAATAAAATTATAATTATTGTTCATTTCTATATGACAAATGTAATTTAACTATGTAATTATAGTTGTCCAAACAATTTGATTTTTTTACAAGGATGATTTTCTCGATACGTTCTTCGATATGAATGGCTCAGATCATTGAGGTTGGCCTCGTGATGGGCCTAGAATCCCAACAACACCTTCAATTAATTTTGCCAACTGAATAAAAGCGTTACCCTAATTTGATCTATTATTAAAGATTTTTAAGTCTCTTTAATCTTACTGATTTATCCCTATTCAAATTCTCCATTCAAAGTGCATAATATATATTTTTTTTTTTTTGATTTTCTAAAGTCCATAATTTTATATTGTTACTCGTGATATTGTGACAATGACTTATTGGATCTTGTTTCTTAATGAGTGGAGCCTTCTTCAGGGGGGGAATAAAAGCTATAAAAGTTTTAACTATGATATTAAAAAAAAAATAAAAAATATTTATTAATAAAATTTTTATATATACAACTTATAAAAAATTTAGGTAGGAGTAGCAAAATTTAGGGACTACTATGTAATTTTGCCTTTTTTATAATACTCACAGAGTGAATGGTAATTGTCTAACAGATGTTAGGGGAGAGAGTTGGATGTGTAAAATTTAAATAGAAAGGGCAATTTCTCTATTTAATTTTTGGCTTGAAGCACTGCTTTACTACAGTTTTTCTAGATGACAAACTACCGTATTCTAAAATTCATTTTCAGATTCCATACAAGCTCTTGTACCATATTGAGTCTGTCTATTCTATTTTAAGGTTGTATTTAGTTTATGAATTTGGATAGAGATTTGAAAATAGAAAGGAAAATGATAAATATGTGAGAAATGTAGGTAAAATATAATTATATTTCATTTATATTTTACTTATATTTTCTCTTTTTCTTTTCAAATTTCTCCTTAAATCGATGAACCAAACACAGTATAAGACTATTTGGATGTTGTTGTTTTTATTTTATTAAATTCCATGCACAAAACAAGTCGTGTCCTAAGTTTAAACGCTTCATTTTCCTTAGCTATTGTTCAAACACTAAGGTTGTGTTTTGAATTAGGAATTTAGGTAGGAATTTTGAAATGGGAAAGAAAAAAGGTGAGGAGAATGTGAATAGAGTATAAGTTAATTTTTTCTTCAATTTTTTTTTTCTTTTACCTTTTTAAATTCCTATCTAAATTCATAATCCAAAAAGCAGCGTAAATGATACTAATGATTTAATCTTTTAAATGTTGACTTACCAAGAAAGATTTAACCATTGTTGGGTATCTTACATTATGCAAGTATTTTATAGGGCAGAAAATATCATTTTGTCATCAAATTATTACTCAAAAATTAATTTAACATTTATTCTTTTAATAATATCAACTGATTTTGAATTAATTTTACCACCACCATTAATTGCAGTCTATGATCAAATGAAAGTTGTTGATATGACAACAAAATTTCATGTAAAATTTTATTTTATTTCCAAACTATCCCCAAAACTCTTGAATAAAATGAAGTCTTTGGTAAAATAATTATGTCACTAACACTAATAGTTAAGTTTAATGGACTTGCAGTTTATTTTCAGTGTCTGGTGTGTGTTCAACGTTGGAAAACTTACTATCACAGACATAAATGGATCAACAGAGATGTGGCACAACCAACTTGAAGTTGACCGCCTGGACAAAGTGAGATTCATGTTGGTCCAATGTTGTGAGAAATTATCAAATGTGATCTCGTCAAATTTAATGCAAAGACTACGACGTCTAGAACGGCTGAAGGTATGGTGGTGTGATTCACTTGAAACAATATTCAACCTCCAAGGGTCAGTATGCGCTAGTACTTACTTTCGAGATTTGAAATTGATGTATTTGCCCAAGTTGATGCATATATGGAAGAATGTTTCTCAACAAACTCATTGTTTCAAATATCTAACATCCCTAGAAGTGGAGAGGTGTGACAACCTGAGATATATATTCACAATTTCCATGGTCAAGGTCCTTGGGTATCTAAAATGTTTAAGAATTGAAAATTGTGAGAAAGTAGAAAAGATTGTCACCAGGGAAGCAGAAGAAGAAGACAAAGATGATGAAGATGACGATGACAATGACGATGACAACGATAATGATGAAAGGGGCAAAATCAATATTTCCAGTGCGGAACTTGAAAATCTTCCTAGTCTCGTGTGTATTGGAATTCCAAAATCCCAAATTCGTATCTCCAAATTGCGTGTAGATTTCTGCCCCAAGTATCGAGGTAACCAATTAATTATACGTCCATGCAAATATGCTTCTTTTGTTCTAGTGGTTTTCCAAATAAAATACTCTCAAGAAAGCAACTTCACTACCTCATATACTTGCCACACCGACATCTCCCAAAATGGGAGCGGTTTAATGAAGAAGATTCTCTCCAACATTTTCTTTATCTATTCATCATTCAATAGTTGATTCAAAAGCCACAACTGGTGATAAGGGTTAATTGTTGAATTGTTGGATGGAGAAGTGCTAGAGAGCATCCAAATCCACGATTTAGCTGTTGTCATCCATGGTTCGGTTACACCGGATCAAACCTGTTGGCTTCATTTGTCTTAACAATAATAAGAAGATGCCACATATAATTATATTTCTAATTATCTCATTTTCTCATACACAAATAAATGGATTCTATAGGCATTTATGAATATGAATCTCATTTTTGTGTGCCTAGGAATGATAAAAAGAGATCAGAAATGAAATTACATATAGCATTGCTTTAATAATAATAATAATGTCTCCAAAAATACTTATCCTTGAGTTGAGATGGTTAATTTGAGAGAAGCTAAACCCTTAATAAACTATGTGCATATTCTTAATCTTAAGATACAATTATTGTCTCCAACAATTGGTATATTTCGGAAATTAATAATATATCCTCCAGATTTTGAGCATTGTGTATACACTGATTTCTTAATAACGTGATTGTAACTAATATAGTATTGGTTAGCAATAGATTAACTCATTAACTTATGCTCTGTTTGGTTATTTAGAGAAGGATTTGGAAACGAAAAGTTAAAAAATTATTAACTCATATTTCATTTAGATTATTCTCACATTTTTCATTTTTCATTTTCATTTCCAAATCTTTACCTGAATTCATGATCTAAAACACAAATCATAGTCCTGGATAGAGATTTAGAAGGGAAAAAGAAAGAAGGAAGAAAGAAGAGAGTAAAATGTGAATGAAAATATAGGTTAATTTTTATTTTTATTTTTTTTTATATCTATTTCAATTTACCTTTTTCATTTTATCTCTATCCAAATTTATGATTCAAATATAACACAAAAGTATGTATTTAGTTATCTTTGTCCTTTTTTTTTTTGCCACTTGGCAGAAGATTAATTAAAAATTAAAAATTTATCTATCTATACGATTATATAAGCATAAATATAGTGTGGTGATTGACGCTCGAAGTCTCAATCTATTTTTAAAAAGTTGAGTCGTTAGATAATTTTTTTTCTTCTTTTCATTGTGGGTCAAAAGTGATAATTTAAATGACCTAATAATTAAATCACTTCTCTGATAAATGATATTCGATTCGAGAGGTGGTGTTGATTGTTAGCTGTATATATTTTTTGTTTTAGTAATGATTTGATACTTGCCACATGCAGGTTATGATGTGGAAGAGGAGTAATATTCACCATTTGCTGCGGTGCAATGCCAATCTCTTCACAGAAAAGGTATGCATTATTGCTATACACACAAAATAAAAAATAATAAAATAAATAATAATAAAGTAAAAGTAAAAAAAAACATTACACCAAATGCCTCTTCATTCTGTTGATAAATATACTGTGGGTTTATCTGTTTAGGTTCATATCTTTAAATATACTGTGGGTTTATCTTCATTCTGTTGATAAATATGCCTCTTCATTCTGTTGGTAAAAAAAAGGTATGCATTATTGCTATACACACAAAATAAAAAATAAAAAAAATAATCATAATAAAGTAAAAGTAAAAAAAAAAACATTACACCAAATGCCTCTTCATTCTGTTGATAAATATATTGTGGGTTTATCTGTTTAGGTTCATATCTTTAAATTTTTAGTGAATATATTTATATTTGGTTTGTGGCCTTCCAAATAATATTTTTTTGGACAAATTATACTGATAGCCCATATATTTTGGTTCTTGTGTCATTTTGATTCTTGTAATTTCAACCGAATTGATTTTTATCCAGAATTATAATTTTATCCTAATTTGGTCCAATTGATTATAATTGTTAGCATTTTTTTTTTAATGGAAAATACACACATGAAAGACGTGTGTCTTGCTTTTCGGGTGAAATTGTAAACTAGATTAACTCAATAAGTTAATCTCAACAAACTCAGTGATAATTCTCTGTTAAAAAAATCCTAATGACATACGTTATCAATTAAAGCAAATTGACCCAAAATAAAAAATTAAGTATTAAAATTGAGCTAATTAAAAGTGTAACTAAAATGATACAAAGAGCAGAATGTAGAGGGTATTAGTGTAATTCACCTTATTTCCTTTTAGAAGCTTAACACTCTGCTAAACCATTTCATTGTGTGGAGTAAAGGGTTGTATTTTCTGTTCTTTGGTCGTTTACAGAATTTGTTTGTGTGAATTAGAGAAATAGTTTTATTTTATTTTAATTTTTATTTTTTATTAGCTAAGAAAAAATTGTATTAAAGAGAGAAATTTCCTTTGCAGTATGTCCAATTCTCCTAAAATTGCTTGAGGGATCCTGAACAAGGATAAATTAGTAGACTGTTAGGTTGGCCAAATTTTAGACAGAATTCATCAATTTTTCTTTTCATATAGTACAATTTTCATGTTACTATATACAAAATTCATTTCATTGGCCAGGTATGTTCAAAATAAATTGATCTTACATCAAATACAAGAGTTTATTTTTATTCTCTAATTTAATGTAAGTTTATCTTGTTCAAATTATGATGATTTAATTATCACAAATAATTCTCAAACCAATATGTTTGTACAAGTTATTTCTTTTTTCTTCCCCAACATCCTACCACCACTAATCGTTATTTCAGAGTTCTAACTAAATATTGGAAAATATTTTCTATGTATTATTCTCTAACCATGACATTTTAAAAAATAAAAAATAAAAAAATTTTTCACATAAAATATTTTACCAAAACAAACGGAGCATAAATTTATAAAATTAATTACATTTATGGATAGTACAAACATATTAATCTGAAATTGTGCCAAGATGAAGTCTTATTAGCTGGTGTTTCATATCTATATATATATACAAAATCATTGAGAGTAAACTCTTTATCACTAATTCAGTGAAAAAAGTTTGTCTTTAAAAGCAATGCCAATTGAGTCCCAAAGAAATGGGTAAAAACTTACTGGGATATGAGTTTAGTTCAGTTAGATCAAATACCACTTAAGTTTTTTCATACCGAAATTTCATCTTAGGTTCAGTGACTTGTAAGGTTACATTTCTGAAGAAATGACAATCTATTGCTGTTAATCTAATTTTGAAAGTCATATAGGTATTGTTCTCAATAAAAACTTTTGTATGAATAATTCTTTGCTAAAGCAATTTTCTTTCCAAACTACCTTAAATAGAAACATTGTACAATGAATAGGCTTCTCAACAGTTGGCCTTTTGGATTTTACAAATTCCACTATGAGGATTTGAACTTTTCATTTTATAAACACGGTGGGTAAGTCATTCATAAAAATTCAAATTTATTTGATAATCATAACAACATGACATCTTTGCTTTCAAAAGAAATGAAATTTATTTTTCTGAAGATAAAGATGATAAAATCATGTTATAATTATCAAATCAATCTAATTAGGAGTAATACCTATGAAACACGGATACGGACACGTGACACGACATAGACACGACATAGACACGACATAGACACGACATAGACACGACATAGACACGACATAGACACGACATAGACACGACATAGACACGACATAGACACGACATAGACACGACATAGACACGACATAGACACGACATAGACACGACATAGACACGACATAGACACGACATAGACACGACATAGACACGACATAGACACGACATAGACACGACATAGACACGACATAGACACGACATAGACACGACATAGACACGACATAGACACGACATAGACACGACATAGACACGACATAGACACGACATAGACACGACATAGACACGACATAGACACGACATAGACACGACATAGACACGACATAGACACGACATAGACACGACATAGACACGACATAGACACGACATAGACACGACATAGACACGACATAGACACGACATAGACACGACATAGACACGACATAGACACGACATAGACACGACATAGACACGACATAGACACGACATAGACACGACATAGACACGACATAGACACGACATAGACACGACATAGACACGACATAGACACGACATAGACACGACATAGACACGACATAGACACGACATAGACACGACATAGACACGACATAGACACGACATAGACACGACATAGACACGACATAGACACGACATAGACACGACATAGACACGACATAGACACGACATAGACACGACATAGACACGTTTATTAATTAGTATAAATTAATATTAATAATTAATTTTTATTAGTATCAAATAATATTAATAATCAACAATTGTTATTAATTAGTATCAATTAATAATTAATTCATTACAAAAATATGCAATATTAAATTTTTTTGATATTTTTTATTCTGTTTTTATCAGCCACTTTTTTGGAATAAACTGATGAGAAGTTCCTTCAACATGAGAGAGTTCGTTGAAGTTGAGTGTCATTTGCTAGGGTTTGAACAACTTGATTGGGAACTATGCACTCTCCGACGAGTACGAGATTGAACAAGTTCTTGGAGTTCTTGACCATGCAATGGTTCCTCGTTGTCCTGCACATACACACATTGCCAATGTTGCATTTTAACCACAGTTCATGTCGACGCCGACGGTACTCATATAATCAGTAGTGGTTCAAGATTTTTAGTGATCTCAAAGTAAGGTCTTATCTAATTAAGCCTTTGAAAAGTTAGGCCACAATAAATAAAAAAAATTTGTTGTGGGCCTTAAGCCACTGCCTAAGTGTAATAATTGAACTATCTCTTCATATAACAAATGCACTCCAATATAAACACTAAAAAGTCCAAAATGAACAAAATTGCAAAGAAAGCTAAAAAAATTTAGCTTATTTTACTTTATCACTTAACTGTTTTTTTTTTTTTTTAATTTTTTTTCAAATTTAAAAAAAAAAAAAAAACCAAAAAAAAAAACAAAACAAAAAAAAAAAAAAAAAAAACTATAGTCCCGACTTGAATAATTTGTTTGCTATTATGTGGTATTGCTAGGTTGTCTTTTTGTGTATTGCTAGGTTGATTGTGCTTTTTGTTTTGTGGTACAACTGAATTAACTTTATTATTAGGCACGTAATAATTTGTGTTTGAATATGTAAGTGTGCTTTATGTGTAATTGCAACAATGCCATTATTATTTGATGTGAGTGTTTTTTTTTTGTTTTTTTTTGTTTTTAAATATGACTTATTGTTGATGTTCTTTTAAATATGATTATTTTTTATTTTTTAAATTGCATATTTTAAATATGCAATTTATTATCTAGTCTCTGTTACTATCTTTGTTTAGCTAATTCATAACCATGAATTGTATGTTATGAGGAAATTGATAAAAATGCAACTCATTAGAGAGTAAATATTTCTAAATTAAAAAAAGAAAATTCTAGATTGAAAAAATGGTATTGCTCGAGCCACTACTTAACTTATGGCTTGAAAGCATTGCATAGGAGAACAAACTCCGAACTCAAAAAACATGATATAATCAACATTATGTTTGGTTCATGAATTTAAATAGAAATTTGAAAGAGAAAAAAGAGTAAGTGAAATGTGAATGAAATATAATTACATTTCACACACATTTTCTTTTTTGTTTCTAAATTTCTACTTAAATTCATGAAGCAAATACAGTGTTAAGAAAAATTCTTATCTTATAGAGAACTTTTTTTGAAAAAATTTACACAGAACTTATTTGCACACAAAAACATGTGTGAGCTTGTTCCTTTTTTGTTTCTTCACAAAAAGAAAAAGAAAATATTAATATCAAACTCTTGCCCCATTTTTCTCTTGATCCAAATATTCCTTAATCAAGTAGGTATATGGTTTAGTTTATAATTTATTTGTATGTTTTTCTTTACTTGTCTTATTTTTGGTATTAATTTTCTTAGCAAGTTCATATGCACATATGCCAATAGATAAGGAATCTATCTATTACTACACTCTATCAAATATTCTTCCAAACATAATATGAGTTTAGAAGGTCCCCGGCATCACTGATGAGGAAGTGATCATCATTTTCTTCAAGATCCACTAATTTCCTCAAAACTTGGTTCATCTTTTCCATTAAATTCCAAAACAAGCAATCTACTTACACCATTGTGGCTTCAGGTTCTGTTTCTTTTTCGTAATATCCCCTGTAGTTAGGAATGGCAACGGGCTGGGGACTACCATGTTCCCCGTCCCCGTCCCCGTTCCTGTCCCCGATCCCCGAAACTACCATGTTTCCCGTCCCCGGCCTCGATCCCCGGCGGGGAATCCATCAAGCCCCTCAGCCCTGCCCCCTACGGGGATTGGGTTTCCCCAACCCTGGTTTATTCTCGTACTCATCATCAATATAGCGATCCCGGTTTTCCCTTTTCGTATCTGTTATTTTCTGGACTTTGGTTCCGTGATGTTGGTGGTTGTATACCCTGTTGTCATCCTTTAATTCCGCTTGATTGAGTTTTAGGATGTATTGGGCAGAGTTGTTACAGGTTAGTTAGACTTTGGTTTCAATTCCTTGTTGCCCAGTTTTTAGGAGGTCCGCTCGAGCGGGTCTTATTGCGCTCGAGCAGAGATTGCACACTCCTAGTATTTTGGTGCTCTGCAAAACTTCTGCAAGCATGTTTTTCACGCTCGAGCGGCTTTCTTTACGCTCGAGCGGTCGCGTTGGAACGGGTACTTTGGAGCTTGAGCGGGTAGTACTTTTTGGTGTAGGTTCTGGGAGGGGGAAATCTATGCTCGAGCGGATTGGTTTTCACGCTCAAGCGGATGTACTTTATTCTTGTGTCTTGGCGCTCGAGCGTGATTTCTTGCGCTCGAGCTCGAGCGGACCTAGTTTTTTGTTCTTGACGCTCGAGCGTTGTGTTTTCCGCTTGAGTGGGAATGTCGTATAACAGAGGGCAGCTGGGCATTTTTGAATCATTATTCTATACTTCCTCTCTCTCTCTTACTTTTCCAAAACACTTTTGAGAGCTCCTCTCTCTAGGATCTCCCTTCTCTCTAGGGTTTGATCTAATTAGAGTGTCTCCCTATCCTCCGGCCTTTGTAAAAAGTGTGTTGATGTCAAGGGCTTCATTTTGATCCGAGAATCGTGGTGTTTGGAGTATTTTCACTTTCTTCTCCTTCTCCGTTAGAGCTCTAACTTCGAGGTAGGGATACCCTGCTCCTCTTTATGAGCTTTGTCTTTGAATCTTAGCATTTTGATATGTTGGGGGTTGTTGGGTAATTTTGAGAAAGTTTGGGTCTTTGTGTAATTTTACAAAAGAAGGGATTTTATTTATAATTAAACCTATATGCATGTTTGGCATAGAGAAATGATATAGATGATGAACTATGGATAAAAATGGAACCTTGGGGTTGCTATGTTAATTATGGGAAAATGCCCTAATTAGTTGGATAAATTAATTTGTGTAATTAATTTTGAGAAATGAAGAATTGAATTGAGAGTATTCAAATTGAAAAGAATATGGGATTAACGGGTGTAGTTGGATTCATTTAATCGCTCACCCAGGTTGAATGTTGATAATATATCCATTTGGTGCATTTATTTCCTGTTTAGAAATAACTGCTTTAGGCTATCGGTGGAGGATAGCCTTGATTGTTGTAGACAATGCATGATGATTAGGCAAACTAAAACTAATCGATTGAGTATGTTATCGAATATAGCGGTTGGAATAATACACCGACTTTATGTATTGAATGTTTATGTATATGATCTATGTTTATATACATTGTGTGTGTGGGAGGAGATAGGGGATGTACTCCGTGGTTTAGGGGAAGATAGGGGATGGACCTCTAAGCCGGGTTGTGTGTGACATTGATACAGCGCTGCAATGTGTATCAAGTGTTGATTATGGAAGTGTTTAGATTGATTTGATATGGCACTAAAATGTATATCGTTATCAATTGTGAAGTATAGAAGTGTTTCTATGTCATGTTGATACAGCACCACAATGTGTATCGTTCGTATAGTATGGGAGTGGCTTATGTGTTATTGATACAGTATCAAAATGTGTATTCACCATGAATTTCGAAAGTATTTTTAAGATGAGTCTTATTCTCATCAAGTTATTTGGCTAAGTCTTGTGTCTTGTTTTCAAACTCAAGGTTGAAAAAGAAATGAGAAATAAAATGTAACATAGACTTAAATGTCATGAAACCGAAATGTGATATAAGTGAGTGTAACGGTGTTGACCATCTATCAACTGCTAATCTTTTAGTCGTTGTTCATA